AGCACCAGCAGCAGCAGCAGCAGCAGAAGTGGTGCTGCTGCTGTTATCCGACTCCGGCTGCTCTCGTCTTTCGATACTCGTGCTGCTGCTGCTGCTGCTGTTGCTGCTGCTGCTGCTGCTGCTGCTGCTGCTGGAGACACCAGTGCTGCTGCTGTCAACCAGAGGCAGCAGCTTAGCCAGCAGCGGCAGCGGGCCCATGCATCCCCTGCACACCCCCCCCAGGTACCTGACTTTCTCCTCTGTGTTTCTACCACCCCCTCTGCTGCTGCTGCTGCTGCTGCTGCTGCTGCTGCTGCTGCTGCTGGCTGCTTTCTGCTGCTCCGAGGAGACACCCCCCACGCCACGCCGCTGCTCCTGGGGGCCCCCAGACCCCTGAGGAGACAGCACAGCCAGCACGGGGGGGAGACAGAGAGGAACAGAACCCCGTCTCGCTGCTGCCTGCACACACAAACATAATTAGGGTTTAGGGTTTAGGGTTTAGGGTCTAGGGTTTAGGGTTTAAAGGGTGGGTGTGGGGTGCGCAGAAACCCTTGCGAAACCCTCTGTCTCTGCTAGGGTTTAGGGTTTAGTGTTTACTGTGGTTTGTGTGTCGTAGGGCTTAGGGTTTAGGGTTTAGGGTTTAGGGTTTGTGTATCCGCGTGACCTGGAGTATAAAAGCTGCAAGCTAGGGTTTATTGTTTCGTGTGTGTTGTGTTATTTTGTGTTTTACGTGTGCACAACCGCATCGGTGTCCTTTGTGTTTAGGGTTTAGGGTTTAGGGTTTAGGGTTTGTGTGACCTGTAGTATAAAAGCGGCATTGGTTTGTGCCTTTGCGTCTATAAAAGGGTGCAGCAGCGCGAGAGAAGAAAAAGCATACCACCCCACAACGGAGAAGTCTCCTTGCTGCTCCGCGGAGACCTTTAGTGCATGCAGCAGCCGGGACTGCAGCGCGGGCCAGGAGACAAGTGTGCTGCTGTGGAGAAACTGCAGCTTGCTGCTGTGTCTTGAAAGAAATACACGCAAGTTGCTGCTGCTGCTGCTGCTGCTGCTGCTGCTGCTGCTGCTGCTGAAGGGGACACCCAGGAGGCCGCAGGCTGCTGCTGCTGCGTTGCTCTGCTGCACCTCACACACCACCTGCCACAGGGCGTTCACAAACATACCCTGTGCTGCACTCCTGCTGCTGCTGCTGCTGCTGCTGCTGTTGCTGCTGCTGCTGCTGCTGCTGAGATAGAGTTGCTGCTGTGTTAGAGTGTTGTAATAGAGAGGGAAATACGGTGTCTCGCTTCTCTGCGTTGCGAAGAAGGCCCCTTGACCCGCACCTGCTGCTGCACCTGCTGCTGCTGCTGCTGCTGTTGCTGCTGTTGCATGCATTTGTTGGGGCTGGTTAAGAAGCATCAACTCTGCATAAGTGCAGCTGCGAAAGTTTGTGAGTGTTTCAGGTGTATGTGTTTGGGGGCCCCCGTTAAAGGGGGCCCCCCAGGAGTTGGCGGGGGCCCCCCAGGTGAAGGGGGCCCCCCTGTTTGCTGCTGCAGCAGCCGCTGCTGCAGCAGCTGCTGCAGGTGCTGCTGCAGCAGGCGCATGCAGCAGCAGCGCAGCAGGATGCCGCCGCAGCAGCAGCGGATGAAGACAGTCTGGGGGTGCGAGATGCAGAGAAGAGAGAGAGTAAGAAGCAGCAGCAAGTGCAGCAGCATAGTGAGCAGCAACCCATCTATGTGTCTCCATGAGGGCCATACAAACCCTATGTAGGAGAAATGAAGCTTTTCTATGGGCTTTATAAAAAGTACAAAGAGAAGAGAGAGCAGCAAGAAGAGAGACAAATTCATCAGCACCCAGTCTCTTTGCTTTCTCTGCTGCTGCAGAGACTGTCTCCATCATCTCTATATACATATTAAACTCCCCCAGGTGTCTACACAGCAACAAACTGCTGCATGCATGCAACACAAAAGCCCCAGGATAACACTGGTAACACTGGCATGCCTCACGCAGCTTCTGACGCACTGCATGCAGAGACGCCTACACACACACACACACATATATATATATATATATATATATATATATATATATATATATATATATATAT